CTAAGGCAGGACTAGAACTCACAGTCTCCTGGTGATTGGCCCAAAGTCACCCAGCCTGCTTTTATGCCGAAGGCAGGACTAGAACTCACAGTCTCCTGGTGATTGGCCCAAAGTACCTAGCCTGCTTTTATGCCGAAGGCAGGACTAGAACTCACAGTCTCGTGCTTTCTAGCTTGGTTCCTTAACCGCGTCACCAAATTTATCTATTAAAGACTATCATTCAACTTATTAAATTTGTATGCAGCCTGACTCCCTACCACTCTAGCCATGCCTAAATGTAAGTTTCTTTTGTTTGCTTCATAGAGTGCATTATTTCCCGAAAACAGGTAGTCCCTGATATAAGACCGTTCATTTAACAACTGTTCAAAATTACAACAGCACTGAAAAGATGCCACCAATCGTCACATGAACGTTGCAGTCACCCTGAAGTCACGTGATCACAATTCAGCTGCTTGCCAACCAGTGTGTACATATATGATGACTGCGGGATCATGCGATCGCCATTTGTGACCTCCAGGCCGGCTTCCAACATGCAAAGTCAATGGGAGAAACTGGATTCGCTTAACAACTGTGTGATTCACTTAATGACCGTAGCAAAAATGATTGAAAAATTGAATGCAGCTCACTTAACGACTGCAGTGCTTAGCAACAGACACTCCAGTCCAAAATATGTCATAAGTTGAGGACTGCCTGTACCTTTCTGCATGTTTGCATATGTTCATTACAGTTGTGTCTTTTCACAAACACCTGTTTTACAGCAATATGCTAGAACAGTTACCTATTTTAATCCATACAGAGGTTATTCATAAATGTAGTAATGACATAGTAGTAATTAAAAAGGCAAAAGATCCCAGAAGGCAACATCATGACATTGGTGTCATTTTTAGAGGATTCTAGTCCAGGAAATACAGCTCGAACGGTTATTCTTTTCTCAGAGAGAATGGGAGCACCGATAGCAAGAGAACAGAAGGGGAAAAAGTCAGGGGTGGGATTCTACCAGTTCGCACCTATTTGCTAGAACTGGTTGTTAACATTCTAAGCAGTTTGGAGAACCGGTTGTTAGAAATTACTGGCCTAATCCTGTAAGGAAGGCAGGAAGGAAACATTCTGGTGTTGCTTACAGAAACTGCCTCTCCGTTAACCCTTATTACATTCTTGGCAGGACTAGACTTCCTGTCTCAGGAACTTCTCTGGAGTTTTTTTCCTCTCCTTTGCTGGTACTTTGCTTGTGTGGAATGACCATTCAAAGTTACAATGGCACTGAAAAAAGTGACTTATGACCCTTTTTCACACTTACGACTGTTGCAGCATTCCCACAGTCATGAGAGGCCAGGCGAGGAGAAGCGTGCCTCAATGTGAGCGATATTGAGTTGGCCATGCCCAGCCAATAACATGACCACCAAGCCACGTCCACCAGTCACATGACCACCAAGCCATGCCCACCAACTAAGCCACGCCCACAGAACTGGTTGTTAAAAAAAATTGAATCCCACCCCTGGAAAAAGTCCCTCAAAACACTGATTACACATCCAAGTTCAAGAGAAGACACTGTTCGTATAGCTGATATGAAAAATATGCAGTGGTCCACTGCACTTTACTTTTTGGCAACCAAAGGACGACAAAACCTGGGTTCATGCGAAATCTCAGCTGGCTAGTATTACAAGTAGTCCTCAGTTTAAACAACCACATTTGGTACTAGAATTTCTATTATTAAGCAAGGTAGTTGTGAAATGAATCATGCCTGAGTTTGCAACCTTTTTTTTGCCACGATTGTTAAGTGAATTTCTCAAGTTGCGAAATAAAACATGCAGTTATTAAGCTCCGGATATTTAACAGATATTTAACAGATAATCAGAGTTGGAAGGGACCTTGTAGGTCATCTAGTCCAACACCCCGCTCCAGGCCAGGGGTGTCAAACTCAAGGCCCCTGGGCTGGCCAGGGGTGTCAAACTCAAGGCCCATGGGCTGGATTTGGTCCGCAATGTGGTCAGATCCGGCTCATGGGGCCATCCTGGAAAATATAAGACCCGGTCTATCCAATGTGAAGAGGAAACATCGGGCCAGCGTGGCTTCAGCCCAGTCTACCCAATACAAAGAAGAAACGTGCCAACAGTTTGTAGAATGGCATCAAGCTGGCCACGCCCACCCAGTCGGCCATGCCCACCATCCAAACAGTCACAACCACCCTGCCCCCCTCCGAGGCCAACCATACTTCTGATGTGGCCCTCAATGAAATTGAGTTTGACACCCATGCTCCAGACTAATAGAGCAAGGCTAGTAGGAGAATTCTGGGAACCCAGACTTCGTAAAATTGCTGTCAAGTTTTGAAGTGCGCTTTTGCAGTTGAAACCATTATTGCTTCTCGGCTTGCCAATGAACCGGGGGGGGAGGAAAGGGGAGGTGGAATGTAGGCTCCAGACATCAAGAGCTGTGAGAACCAAGGACACTTGGGCAGGTGTTTGCAGAGTTAAAGACTTTTTGTCATAACAATACAATGAGATTCAATTGGACCATGTGACCTGGTCTAATAGGGGGAAGGATAATCTATACTTTAATTATGTGGGTTTGCATGGAAATTAGTTAGATCTGGTTTTGCCCTCGTCTGGGCCAAAATGATATACTATACTCAATGAAGTTTTGCATTAAGAGATTGGATTGTCCCGTCCGTGCTTTCTTTGGTTGGGTTCATCAGTTGGAAGGTTGACAGTTGCCATGATTAAGAAACGCTGATCTGGAGGTTTGCATACCATAAAAAGTAACAAGTTTATTATGCACAACTGCCTTTGGTCCCATGGCCAGCCTTGGACTGAAGGTATCTTATAGGGAAATCCCCTTCTAATATAGTCTTAAAAAGCTAAATAATCACTTTGTTGCCTCATTATCTGCTCGCAGATGCCATAATGTTAGGGTAGTAAAGCGGTATTTTTTTAATCTTGGAGTTTTAAGATGGGTGGACTTCAATTCCCAGAATTTATTTATTTTATTTTATTTATTTATTTATTTATTTATTTGATTTGCCAATTGTTTACAAGATAATAAGTATAAGTGTATACATAGTTGTGAATACATGAAATGGGTACATATAAGAAAAATAAAAGAATAAGAGAAACAATAGGACAGGGACGGTAGGCACGTTGGTGCGCTTATGCACGCCCCCTACAGACCTCTTAGGAAAGGGGTGAGGTCAATAGTAGACAGTCTAAGGTTAAAGTTTTTAGGGTTTGGGGAAGAAACTACAGAGTCGGGTAGAGTATTCCAGACATTGACCACTCTGTTGCTGAAGTCGTATTTCCTGCAATCAAGTTTGGTGCGGTTTACTTTGAGTTTCAGCAACTTCTATCAATTCTGGAAATAGAAGTTCACCCATCTTAAAGTTGCCAAGGTTGAGAAACTTTGCTCTAAATCAGCATCAACTGAAACCAGCCTTCTTTTTTGTAATCCTGTCCTTTATTTGTATTCATATAAGTAGTGTCCAATGTTGATGTTGTTTTGAATAGAATAAAATTAGAATAGAATAGAATAGAATAGAATAGAATAGAATAGAATAACAGAGTTGGAAGGGACCTTGGAGGTCTTCTAGTCCAACCAGTGGTGGTATGCTACTGGTTTGGATTGGTTCAGCCGAACCGGTAGTTAAAAAAAGCCAGCTGAGAGGGGGGGGGAAATCCTCCACCACCAGTTGAGGGGAAACAGAAGTGAAAAGCGCAGGATGGGCCCTCCCACCGGCCCCTGTGCTTTTCTCTTCTTTAATCCTCTCAGCTGATTGGCACTGCAGGTCTCAGCTGATGTGGGGAAAGCTGCGCACACGCGTTAGGCAAAGAACGCCCACCAAGCCACGCCCACCAAACTGGTGGTAAAACAATTTGAATCCCGCCACTGAGTCCAACCCCCTGCTCAGTCAGGAAACCCTGTCCCATTTCAGACAAATGCTTGTCTACTCTCTTCTTAAAAACTTCCAATCTTAGAGCATCCACAACTTCTGGAGGCAAGTTGTTCCACCGGTTAATTGTTCTAACTGTCAGGAAATGTCTTAGTTCTAGGTTGCTTCTTATTTTAGGATGTTAACAATCAATGACCCTGTTGCCTTTCCCTTAAATCAGAAGTGTCCAACCTAGGCTACTTTAAGACTTGTGGATTTCAACTCCCAGAATTCCCTAGCCAGGCATGCTAGCTGGCTGGGGGATTCTGGGAGTTGAAGTCCACAAGTCTTACCGTTGCCAAGGTTGGTCATCCCTGCCTTAAACGATGACCAACAAAAGTGTCAATAAAATAAATAAATAAATAAATAAATAAATAAATGTATCTTGCCATTTTCCCAGCAAAATTGGATTTAGGATCCTTAAAAATGAACAAGCAACGGATCTTTCCTGGGATTGGAAGAGCGGGGCTCCTTCTCCAAGCTTATTGCAGGCTGTAGTTATTTATCAAGGTCTCCAACCTCTTTGTGACGTGGGATTTCTTTGGACAACCACCACTAGATGTCAGTCCAAACACTCTTTTTTGGGGGGGGGGGGGAGAAATAATCAGAGATTACCGTGTAATTTGGGCTCCACTTCCATTGTAGGATTTTTGAAAGGCAGTAAGCCTTGCTGGGTGGGCTCTGTCAAGAGTTTAGCAGAAGATGGATTTGGTCATCTGAAAGGTCAATCTTTTTGAACAGAGGGCGTTGTAGAGTCCTAGTAGTGTTCCATGGAAGTGCTCTGAGGGAACACCTGGATGAGACAAATAGGAGATACTTCTCCTCTTTCAGAGAAGACAATCTTCAAGTTCTAGGACAGATATTCTCCTTTTGAAGATGTCCTCTTCTCATAAGTCCATTTACTCCAAGTTCACTTTAAAATTCAAGACAAATTGAAGCCAGATCCAGGCTAGCGTAACAGGAGGAGATGTTCTGCATTTCATTTTAAATTCGAGTCAGCTTAGTTCTTATCTTAACCAAGCCAAAATAGTCTTCCTTCTTATTTTATGTATCTATCTCCTACTCTGGTTCTACTCAAAAAAACAACAACAAAAAACCCCAAGGTTTTCCTGAGGATCTCTTTTTACTTTATCCCTATAACCACCAGCTGGTTGAGATAGATGACCCTAAGAAACTGTGAGCGGCTCAGAATTACACAGGGAGATTCTATGGTGAAAGATGGACTTGGACCCAAGACCTAGTTTATCTCCTTGATCACCGCGTCAGAGAATTATGGGGCTGGAAGGGACCTCTGAGATCTTCCAGTCCAACCCCCTACTCAAGGCAGGAGTCTTCTAGTATCACAGTCAAATGATTGTTCTAGTTGTAGAAATAAATTCAGGGCTGTTGCAACATCCATGCATCCCTCCATCAATCCTTCCATCCTTTAATTGAAAGGAATCAGAATTCAACCCCAAACACTTGATCTCACTCAGGCCAAAGAACAGGAGCTAAATTAATTGTTTGGTCTGTTAAAAGTAGCCGAGAAATGTAATCTAGTATTGCTTTTAAGAGTTTTCCCTCAAGGCAGTTTAAGAAATATTACAAGAGGCAGGTACAAGCTGTATTTATGTTCTTGTATTATTAAGTGTAACTGTGCGGGGAGGCCACACAGTGAGTCAAAAAAAGGGAAGAATGGATCTGAAGAGGGGATCTGCACAATTGCTTCTGCCATTTTCACATTTTTGATTCCTAAATCAAATCAGAAATGCAATAAATAATATAAAGAACTACCTACTAAAAATCAT